CTTCTGTGGGCACGCACGAGTATACGGGAAGCTCTCGCCTGAGCTTACCACGTCCAGTGATGTAGAGCAAGGGTGTTCCCTTTCCCCTTTTCTCTTCAACTTTGTCATTGATATGTTGCTTGCAATTTCCCCGCCTGCCTTTGAAACTTCGGGAGTCGAGGTGCTCCTGGGACGTTCCCTCACAGACATTGAAAATGTAGAGGATATCGCTCTCCTTGGTTCAGATGCTTCCCAAATGCAAACGATTTTAAATAACCTGAATAACTCTGCCACACGATTTTGTATGCGCTTCACACTTGCAAAGTGTAAAGCGCTGTTACAAGACTGGGTGGGATTAAATCCACAACTCGTGCTTGCGGATGAGCCAATCGACGTGGTTGGTGGGCAGTTGTACAAGCTCCTGTGGACTAGCTGTAGATGGCATTATTTCTCGTATCTTGCCAACCTCCGGCACCTATGGCGCCAACGTGACGTGAGTTTGTCTGCCAAGGGGATGCGATCCGTACTGTTTTATGGACCAGAAACGTGGCTCCTACGCGCAGAGGAAGATGTCAGTGTTTGACCATCGGTGTCTCCGAAGCATTGGTCACATCTGGTAGGAACATCGGGTTAGTAACGGTGAGGTACGCCAAACGATCCAATCGCACAGTCAATGACGCTCGTGCGTCAAAGCTATCGCCTTCAATGCGTAGCTATCCAATTTCCGAACAAACCGAACATGCCTTCGCCTCGAAAGCTTGGTTGTATGTCCCACACTCCCAATTTTCGGTTATTGAAACTGCAGCAGCTGGAACAAATGTGCCTATTGTACACGGCTTATAGCCGATACATTGATTGATTGATTGAATTGATTTATGCAAAGAGGTGGCAGTCTCGTCCCAGTATGAGTTCGCATCTGATGGTGGAGCATTTGGAAGAGGCTTCAGGGGATGGTTCTGGCAAATTCATCTGACTTGCGGATCTGCCAGTCTCCCGGTTGCCAAGTGATTTGTCCGCAACTTACGCGACCGAGGAAAGCTTAGGGAGAAGCAACTCCGGATGAATGCGTGGTCGGAATCCACAAATGTGTTCCAAAACGACCGGCAGTCAGTTATTGATTCCCGCCGTCGGTACCCGATGGCAATGTGATTAATGTGTTTCGGTGGCCGGGATGCCGTTGGAGGATACCATATGGCCAGACGACTTTGGCTATTTCAGAAGTTAGTACTGCATAAACACAGCCTGCAATCAGCACACAGCTGAAGCAGTTGTTCACCATTGTCCGTACGTACCGAGTCCAATCCATGTCGTCCTCCTAATTGAGTCTCATATGCGCTAAGCCTTCCCACTGTGCATGCAGATCTCCGGCAACTACAAAGATATCTGAGCTTCTGGTTCGCCGCAACGGGGCATTCAGGGCATCGCAAAACTTATCTTTGACGGTGTCAGAGTGATACTCAATTGGGGCGTAAGCGGACACGACAACAGACATCTATCATCTTCCCCCTTGTGAAACTCCTTCATAGATGTTGACAGACGAACCCTACAGAAGCAGGTGGCTATCAACGGGTGCCCAACCAAGCTAGGATTCTTGCGCCCGGTGTCTTAGGACAATACCGACCCCTTCACATCCTGCCGCAGCAGCCCCTGGATCACCAGAGGCGAGTAGCCGGCTGCGAGTGGAATGCGGGGCGCTTAGCTCAACTCCTGTGCTTGCATATTGATTTCTTGTTTCTGATACATAGTACACATCAGTGCCAAGCGAGTTCAGTGTGAGAGCAAGGGCTGATTGCTGTCTTACTTGCTCCAGACTGTGGGCATTGAAGGCGGATAGATAGACTGAGCGTCGAGGATTGAGGGTTGATTTCGAGATACCTGAGGATGTCGGCGCCGGATGACGCGCAGATGTCGCTTCAAAATCAGGACGAATGGAATCATGAGTTCTATGTGCTGGGCCTACAAGAGGAGAATTATTGGTGGGGTGGCGAGAGGGGGGAAGGAAACTTGTGTGAAAGAGAAAGAAGGAAGACGTCAGCGGTAGCCTGATTTTTCATTGCAGCGAGTAAGGCACCACGCGACTTGAAGCAGCGGCATCACCGGAGTCACTGGGCCTTCTTCCGGAGGCTGACCTATGGTTTCCGCGAAACCGAACGCCTAGGACAAGTCAGGTTGAATGTATGTATCTTCGCGCGCTCGAATTTGACCAGCACTAAGTAGTAATGGCTCCCGACTGCCTGGAGTTCGAGTAGGGTAGGTGGTCTTCACCCAAATTTGGAGCAGTATGCATCTAGATATGATTACGAGGTGGTTAATGTTTGCTTATATTTGGAGAGCCACTTTTGAGAGTCGCTTTTGAAGAAACTGCGCCCTACCGTGGTGTGGCGGTTTGTGTACCTTGGCGACCCATTTAGCTATACTGGGGGGTGTCCGCGGGACACTCAAAGAGTCTCTCATACCATGTTGGTCCATGGGTAGTGGTCTGACGAACGCAGTCTTTTGGCCTTCCAGGTTAGGGGTTGGAACATGTATGCCGACGTGTTCCGTAAAAATGTTAATGTACTTGCATTTCCAGCCGAACACGGCTGCCTTGCGGTTAGGTTTTTGAGCTAAAGGCTTTGGTTGAGGACCATAATCGTCCTCCTGTCTAGGTGTGGTCGTCCCGGGCAGTATCTCAGCCCTTGTACAACCATGACATACGCAACTAACAATGCTCTCATGCCACATCGGCCGTCGCGTGGTGCCATCATTCGGGTTGCCTTCCTTGCTGCATACAGCAGGGTGGGTGAGAGAAAACATGCTACCGTTGACACCTCCCTTACACTTCATCACTTTTGAGATGGGAGCACGGGTACCACAGTCCAGTGTGACTTTTTTGGCTTGCTATATCTGCAGCAGATGCATATGATAGTTTTGGGGATAGTAGGGCACGTCCATAGCACGTCACTCTGAGTGATTTTATTAGTACAGAAGCTGGATTGTTTGAATCGACCATTTCGGACAACTGTTGGGGTTTATTGTCGTCACAGATTCCTCTTCCTCATACGATGACATCCGAAATATTATTCCATTAGCTCTAATTAGTGGGATTTCAACCGGAGATGCCTCAGGATCTTGTGAACGTGATGAGCTCTCTGAAAGGTTGGGTACAAAATGCTGCGAAAAGCTGTACTTGAGAACTTGTACCCCCTAAACATGTCCGTTTCTGTTAAGGGAGATGTGCCTTAGGTTATGGCATTAATAATGGTAACTTCTTAGCTCTTACGTCACGGTGTTTGATGAATTCAGTGCACGAATCTCAGCGGGCCGGATTATGTTTGTTAACTTAATTCACATTGGCGTCAGAAAGCCATACCACTGGATTTCAAGGGTCGTTTGTACCATGATACAGCAAGGGCTGTATTGTTGTATGGTATCTTACATTGGATGAGATCCTTCAGGAGTGCAAAAAATTTTAAATAATCCAAATAATTCTGCACAATTCTCCATTACTTGATACTTGTAAAGTGCGAAGTGTTTCTGCAGTATTGGGTGGTATCGAACCCAAACCTAATGCCTGACTGATGTGGTAGGTAAGTTCTTTTACATGGACAGCTGCATTAGGTTCGGCGGACTTTTGAGTCATCCAGGTGTAACACCCTTTCGGTGCCCAGCTGCCGTGCCACCCGAAGGAACCCGGCTGGGTTACTGCCAGATTGCCCAAGCCTAGATAGGGGAAGTCGAGAGGCAAACGTCGGATTCGAACCACGGACCTTCCGATCAGTAGATTCGTGCTCTAACCACTTGGTCCATCTCTCCTCCACTAGTGTCTGAACCTTCGCATGGCTCTGTTGGGAACCTGAGATCACTATTGCTAAAGTACGTCGGGTGGTTTCCGGGAAAGGTCACCCTTCCTCGATAAATCAGCTAGTTATAACATCCATAGGTTACGCTGGCTGGGCCATGTACTACATAAACCACATGACTGTTCGTCTCGTAGAGCCCGCTTAGCCCAGTCTTGTGTCGGATGAGGCATAAAAGCTCTTACCGGTCAACTCAGTCGCGTTGATAACTGCCGTCTCATCGGATGGGGACCGGGGGACGATACAAGCCTTTGGTTTGTGACTCTGACAGATCTGGTTGTGTCGCGCAGCAGCCAAAGGCGATCTTGCTTCAAAGCTATCACTTTCACTGCCTAGTTTGTACACCCGAACAATCAGAACCATTTGGGTAACATCGCGTCGCTGTTTCGTCCCATTCACCGTACTGTTCGTCAGCAACAAGTCTAACGGTCTAACAGTCGTGATAATAAAAGGGAAATAGGTACTGGAATTCCCGATAAAACCTAACAATCTAGGCTGAGAAGTTCAGTCCATTCGTGTATCAAAAGAATGACGAGTTTATACTACAGAATGTGCTGCCCTTGTTTGAAATGGAACGGCTTCTGTTCCGACCATCATAGTCGCTTGAAGTTTCGTCGGTTTTCCCGATTGTTTACCTTTCATGTATTCTCTAGATTTCGTTTCGTTTAGTTTGTATCCGTTGGTAGACGGTGAGGAATTTGTGGCCAGTTTATTCGTAGATGACGAATTACTCACCAGAACATTGATGATCCCCGTGTACTTGTGAAAACTGTTAGTTTAGTGTTCACAGCACAGTGTCATGGGATTTATACGTTTATAGCTCCTGATCACGTCATCGACCAACCGTCATTTAATTGCTTACATTTGCTTCTAAGCGAGAATCTCATGAGTTAGAATGAGGTGGCCCTCGAAATGACGGAAACAGGAGCTACATACCTGGGGGGCTTGGCTAGCAGCTCCGCGTGACTCAGCGCCGGTACCCTAAACCAAGTTGTTCCATATCGCCTTTAACCATAGACAGGTTTGCAGTTTTCCTCCGGGACCACGATGCTTTTTCGATTTTTCCTATTTGCTGTTAACGCAACTCCACCAGTATCATTCGCTCTTTTTCTCAGTCTGCATTTTCTCTGTTGTCCTCTATTTGACCTCTTGCATTCACCTACCATTTCCATTGTTTTCCAGACTTCGTTTATTTCGAGTCTTCCGCAACCGCCCCCTATCAGATTCGTCGGATTGACGAGCTCAATAAGGTAAGTGAGCTGAATGTTATCGTGCTGTTATACAGCAGGTGTTTGGCGTTGCGATCCCGCGACCCCTGTGTAACTAACTTGCCATCCATCCTCTTGCTTGGGCACCAATATTGTCAGTAGTACATTCGCTTGTGGTGACAGCTAGTTTCGATCTGGCTTCGGATTGCCAGGGATTCTGTCATCCCTCGTCCTTTTTATAGCATTTCGGTTCTTTACTCAGCGGGTAACATGGTTGGAAACCCACTTCCTTTCCTTCATGAAGAAACTAGACCATACCGTGTTAGAACAGTTTGTACTCATCTGTAGGCCACTACGACGCCTTCGTTATCTTGTCGCTGCTGCCTAGGGGCTATAGGTGACTCCGCAACTACTCCAGCGCGGGCGTTGGTATAGCTCTCAGCTCTCGTACTTCGGCTTCCTTACTTGATTGGTCCCTGTGGGTAGCCACGTTTGGGTTGATCGTTTGTCAGCTCCCATAAGAACCTGCCCTGTCTTTAATCTTAGTTTCTGCCAGCCCCATCGTAGCGAGTTTGTCGGTGAGCGGATAGGACGCGATGAGTCTGATTCGTTAGAACAGCAGAAAAGGTTAGGGTGTTTGCTTGACCACCGTCTACCGTGTATTACACTCCAAAACAGTGTTGATGAAAGGTTCCCAAAGGCCGGGATGTGAAGTGGCAAGGTGAACTCGACTCTCCGGTCCAGTGCTATGAGATCTTATCATATCGACGAGACTTGCCATATGCTTGTTTAGAAGCCTTGCAGCGCAGAGCACGTAACTGAGCCTAGTGGTGGACTGGCTATTGCATAGCTAGCTGTCTAGCTAGAGTTTCTGTCACTGTGCGCTGGGCTTCCGTCGGTTGAGGTTCTCGAATAATGTTGGATCAATCACGCTTTCTCGAGGGTAATGCTCAGGTCTGTCTATACTTCTCGTTTCGGAAGAGCCGGGCACCTTGATCTCTTGATCTTCTTCTCTCTGGGTTCTTCACAGTGAGTTTTCCTTTCCCTTAGGGCCTTATTTCTTTGTGGTTGTATGGTGGCCAAGCACCAGTTGGTACTGTTGGTGTATCGCTGTCCGTCACGATGGTGATGGTGCTGATTCCGAACATGCTAGGGATCGTTCTGATTTGACCCGATTTTTCATCAGTACATTAGTAAATCTCTACCTGAACGCAAAAGCACTATAAACAGGGTTAACAAGCTGAACTATTCACAGATGTTTTGACCAAGAAGCCCATTTTCTAGGTGTTCGTGCGTTTCTCTCGTTTTTTTTACCACACGATTCTGATTTGACCCGATTTTTCATCAGTACATTAGTAAATCTCTACCTGAACGCAAAAGCACTATAAACAGGGTTAACAAGCTGAACTATTCACAGATGTTTTGACCAAGAAGCCCATTTTCTAGGTGTTCGTGCGTTTCTCTCGTTTTTTTTTACCACACGAAGAACTAGAGTGTTCGGTGGGGCGAGATGGCCCAAGTGGTTAGAGCGCGAATTTACTGACCGGAAGGTCCGTGGTTTTGAACCCGAACTCTGCCTCTCAACTTCCCCTGTCTAGGCTTGGGCAACCTGACAGTATCCTAGCCCTCGTGCAACCTTCGGGTGGCGTGGCAGTTAGGCACCGAGAGGGTGCTGCAGCTGAACGTTTCTTTCTTTTCTTATAGTGCTCGGTGGTCGAAACACGGACACGGATTAATGGGTAATGGGATAGAGGATACCCCAGTATGTTTTTAGCAGAATCTGACGCATGAGTACGGTTTGGAGGCTGGAGGCACGACTAGCAAAAATGCAAAATGTTTTTGGTAGATCTTCCGCTTTGATTGCCCTAACTGGAGGCCTAATACACTAGTTTCACCAGACATAGGCCCACTGACTTGTCGGTTACGCGGTGATGCGCGAATTGCCGCACCGCTGTAATGTACGGCCCGTTTAGAACGAAGCCCTCGTCATAGCGTGTTGCAAACAAGAGATGGTTTTTTTCGACAAATGAAGTTGCTAACTGTGTTTCATGAATGAACACTGCTTATGCGTCGAACATTCGTATTTAGTTCTCAATGCATCCGTTGAGGCTGGGATCCGCGTCACTTGACCCGGCATGTTTATTTGTGTTGCCTATGCGTGTACGTTTGTGGTCCATATAAGAGGAATAACAGAAAAGCGTCCAGCTGCAACACCGTTTCGGTGTCTAGCTTCTATGCCACCAGAAGGAAGCACGAGGGCTGGGATACTGCCAGGTTGTCTAAGCCTAGACAGAGGTCGGATTCGAACCACGGGCCTTTTGGTCAGTAAATTTACTATCTAAACACTGGGTTGTCTCGCCCCCAAGGGGAAGCACACGCGCTAACTCTTGGAATTGGTACCCTGCGGCTGTTGTTTACCCTTGATTCCCTTCCAACCACTTGGTTAGTGCGCTAGTTCGGAATCGCTCGACCCATCAGCTATTTTGGACGTTTAATTAGAGACACGACACTCCAACGGGTGAGCAGTTTCTCTAACAGCTAATTTGATTTTGACACTAGTCCAGCAAGCTCCCCGTACCACAGGTTGCAAATGCCGCGGTCGATCTCATGTTGACGAACTTATCCACTTTTGGGAAGCACTCAAACGTATCCGCAGATATGTTTCCCGGATTGGTTCTACAGTTGTTGGTTGAGTCCAGTCTGCCATTGTTAACCCAATAGTCCATGGTTAATACACCTGATAGTTTGCGTTTTTATCTGACGTTTGTGCATCAAAGGCGCCGTGCTACTGGACTGGTCTCAAAGAGCGCCTGACGCGGTGGACCCGAGCCACCAGTCTTCCGCTAACTGAAAAGTGCTCCATCTATCAGTTGGCTTGGTCGTTTCAACTGACTGAATTAGTCTATTATCGCCTTACGCCCGTTATCGTTCCTATTGGTCTCAACGTCCTTAGCTGTCTTAGATTGCCCGTCTTTTCGTTGTCACGCACGTAGTTACTGTTGTTGGGTATAGGCCTGAGCGGCATACTGATCACTCCATCAAACATGCACCCCCAGAAGCACAGACAAAAAGCCACATCAGATTCCACCCTACTGAACACCATTAGGCAAGTGAATTGCGAATTTCTCAGTTGACAAGAAAACTAATTGACCCAACCTGTCTGGTCCGTTGGGTAGTCTAGATTAACAACACAACGATGATTTGATAGGGTGAATCATCTTGCCTCAAGAGCTCATTACAGGTCTCAGTTGTCGATGCGAGATCCGAATCACATAATTTATCCATTGGATTGTAATTAGTCTAGCTCCCGAATCACATAATTTATCCATTGGATTGTCCATTGGATTAGTCTAGCTTCTCTGAACCCATTGGAATGTCAGTTCATCTTGGGCTAGCCGTTTGCTATGTGTTCGGAAGAAACGCGGCGCTCTCATCCGTATAGAGGAACACAGGGACCTCTGGCGGACCCGGTCGGGCGTCCTGACAAGATCCCGGCTCATGTCATACCATTATGATGACGACCATTTTAACACAGCATAATCTTTTTTTCTTAGATTTCAGTGAGTGAGCAGTCTGGATGCTGACATGAGGTCTGTAGCTATTAATGCAAGATTAGTGCGAACTCCGTCCGCGAATTTAACAATAGAGCGTTGATGAAATCGATCAAACTAATCACCCAAGGCGATTTGAGTTTTTACTGTAGTTCACTCATTGAAGCAGGAAGTATTGGTGAACAAATATAGCCGCATACATTACGGAAGATGCTGCTCTTTCTCTGTAATGCTAACGTTCATCTTCAGGGTACTTCAATTGGTGCTCCACCTTGGGTTGCACTGGTCGGTTTTATTGGTCTTTATGGGCTTGTGAGGGCTACGAGAATTTTTTGGATGGGTGACTTTCAAAAAAAACCCAGTATCAAGTGACTACTTTGTATATTTTTCGATAAAATAGCGTTTTACTGGACAGTGAGCTACCTAAAGTGTATTAAATAGAACAAATAAAAAGCAGCTTGGTAAATTATCTTCAATGCCAGGAATGTGACATAACTTACCCAGCGTTTTGAAGAACAGTGTGAATCGAAAATAGTAGTTTTTATGATACTACTAGCAAACGTGACCTGTGCTTGGCTTGTAAGAAATGCTGCTTATTCATTTTTGACTGACCCCGAGACGGGCCACATCAATGGCTAGAGACATTATCAGACATGGCCCAGTCGCGCCCTCAATGGCGCTCTTGCATCCAAGCTATTGCCTTCAATGCATGGCTCCTTTTCCAACCCCCCGCTTGACAACCCACTGACAGTGCTGGATTTATGCACCAATTTATCAACTCCCGCCTGCAATGCACAGCTACCTCTCCCTCCCCCCAAATCATTGCTACAACCACTGTACGACGAGTACGCGGTTATTACAGCTGACAATGATGATGATGATGAGAGGATGCTGCGATATGTGAGCACGCTAAGCTACCAATGGCTGGAATCGAAGCGGCCTAGTTAAAGTGGAGTGTGACAAGGGACAAAGTGACCAGACTTTTTCGGGTAAACAAATACCGTTTTAACATGCGTTGGACGTAAGTTTCTGAGCAGTGTTCTAGGGCCAGTAAATAACAGGATCCTGGCTCCCTGTCTGCAAAGAATAAGTTATATTTGACTGTCTGTTTCATCTTCAAAATAGATAAGTGACCAGACTTTTTCGGGTAAACAAATGCCGTTTTAACGTGCGTTGGACGTGAGTTTCTGAGCAGTGTTCTAGGGCCATTAAATAACAGGATCCTGGCTCCCCATCTGCAAAAAATAAGTCATTTGACTGTCTGTTTCATTTTCAAAATGGATGCTTGTCATCATCATTTTTGGCTGTAAGAACCGCGTACTTGTCGGCCAGTGGTTGTAACTGCCACCGTTTCGTCCACTGATGATTTGGAGAGGTGAGGTAGGTATTGCAGGCGGGAGCTGATAAATTGGCGCATAAATCCAGCACTGTCAGTGGGCTGTCAAGTGGGGGTTGGGTTGGAAAAGGAGCTATGCATTGAAGTCAATAGCTTGGATGCACGGGTGCCATTGAGGTCGCGACTGGGCTGTGTCTGACAATTCCTCTAACCATTGATGTAGACCGTCTCGGGGTCCCCATTTAGGAGGACAGCAATGACCAATGTATTTGATTTTGCTGGCAATAGCTTTCACACTTCGCTGCCAAGTCATTGCTTAGCCCTTCCTGCATGTTATCCTAGAATGCCTGAAACCTACTGAGATCCTTAGAACTCCACTTAACGACGATCAGATAGCTTTTGGTCAAGGTCAGACGGTGCCCTTAAAACGCGAGGCCATTGTACTTTCGTACTCTCTTGTGTGCAATAAATTTGTTTTGTCGGTGAAGCTTTTTCCTAGAGCGAGGACAGCAGTCAGGTATAACAATGCCGTAAGTGTACAAATTGCCGAATCGTCGCGATTTCATTTGATACTTTGGAATTGCTCTGACGATTTTAGTTAGCAGTTTTTCTTCAACTGGTGCATGTCAACTCCATTATCTCTTGTATGTTATGCATTTCTTCTCACAGACCCCCACCGGCGCCGTCGAAGCAAAAGTGGCCTGCTATTTCCGTCGCCGGGATGTTTCTATTGCACTGATCAACCAGGCCGAGAAGTATTGTGAGTTGCTTTTGTCATCCCATCGCTCCCACCTCTCATTAACTCGACTAATTAAGCGATATACCTCGCTCTATTTCAGAACAGTCTGTTTTCTTCTCTCCCTCCTTCTGTCCAGCCGACACTAAACGTGGTCGGCCAGAACGAGTAAATCGCACCGTGTTTTCAAGATGTCTGTATTCTTGAGACAGAAGCGTTCCTACTTAGGTGGGTCATTTCCGCCGCAACAACGTCTATGCTACCCCTAGTTGAATCATGACCTGTACTTGCTCGGACGCTAGATAGGTTGTATAAGCAGCCTCGTGCATTTGTCCTCTTCAACAAGGACTTCGAGACCATCCAGATCAGCGTCCTAGTGCTTTGTGGTCTCAAAACATGGGATGTGTTGTTGGTGTAAACAAGGAGGGAATTCGGAATGGCATGGGTTTCCCTGACCGGTTCATATTTTTTCTCCGTAGGCCTATTTCGCCATATGACCCCCGCTACGGTTCGCAATATGCCGAAGAGACGTGATTAGCGTTTGACGTAGCTGTCATTTACCTTGTATCCAAGTGGCAGCAAGTAATTGGGTCTCGACACATGCTCTCGTTTGGTTTTGACAAGAATCCAACGGAATCTCCTGTTTATGATGGCCTGGTCCAACTGAATGAAGAGTTTTCAGCAACCTTATGAGTAGCATGTTACGTCTAGACAGGAGACGGTCAAGTGTTCAACCACTGGCCGGAAGGTCGCGGACTCCCTACTGGAGTTTCATGAGGAATCTCAATGGAAAACTCGGTTCTCAAGCGTTTCTTCCCTTATTGAACTCAACTGCGCTGTGACGATGTCTGCTCAGTTGGGGTGGGAAGTTGGCAAGCTAATTGACAAGCTCAGTGAACAGATTCCCTTCTCTAAGCGGTTATCCTCTTCTCTGTCACCTCATAGCTCATGTGAGACTCCTGATCTTTCTCAGCCACTCCGTCGGTCCTACACTTCCCTCCTGACTGGGTACCAATCACCATCCGACTTTACTTGGGACATCCTGTCCCATAAACTTCACTGACCTTGATAGTCTTTTCAAAATTTCTGACTTATTAATTGAGTACTACTCCGGCCGCTTAACGATGAAACATTTTTGTTGCCTTCGATGGCCAGGCTTTTGCAGATGACAATTCAATGTGAATTTTTGCGATAAGATCCCCTGGACAGTGGTCCCCCTACAAGGAGGATACAACAGAGCCTACATTAAACAGGTCTTACTCGTTACGTCCTCATCGCGAGGGATTCTTCAGGAAAGTTGAGGTCAATCTAGTAGCTGGTTTGAAAGAGGTCGTCTATCCCCCGAGATTGGTCCGAAGGTCGGACCCTCTGGCTTCTTGGCTACCCTAATCTCATCCGAGGGGTCTATGAACTCTAGTAGCTGGTTTGAAAGAGGTCGTCTATCCCCCGAGATTGGTCCGAAGGTCGGACCCTCTGGCTTCTTGGCTACCCTAATCTCATCCGAGGGGCCTATGAACCCGAGACAATTACTGGGTACACATATGAAATCAGAGCCAGTGGATGAAATCGATTTTGGGATCGAACGGCCATGTGGACGGTTCTGTTCATCAGATCTCCAGGACCCCTCTGTAACCCTGCCATAGGCTTCGAATGTCACCTGTGTCCGTACAAGTTTAAAAAAACCTTGCGGTATATGGACTCGGCTCGTCTTAAACGGGAAATGACTGTGATAAGCCTGTATCTAGCGTTGTGGCTTTCACCGACGCAGCTTAGTTTTCCGATCGTCAATCTCATACCTGTTTCATCGGTGAGATGAGACTCGAGCACGGTACGTAATCCACCAACCTCTATTGTTGTACGTTTGTAACCACTGCTGCGTTGTAGTTGAGCGCGTTGGCGTTGGAGACCTTTAGACCCGTAGCAAGAGTTGGATCATGTGACTGCTTCCTGTCGTCCCTGTTACCTGCCTTGTCTCCCTCTCAGTAGGTTAAATTACGCAACCGCCACACAGAGACAGTTGATATCTTCGTCATTCAGACGAGAGTCAATCTCTCTCCTACGTGTTCAGGAGTTATGCCGCCCAACAGCAATCTCTGAGGCACCTTTATGTGTTCATCTTGCCACACCTGCCACGCTCTCCTTCTGCTGTCGCTGTTGCTCCAATACCACCAACGTGTCCGTCTGTCGGTCTGTCTGTATTTTTCTCTCTCCGCGCACAAGGTACTTTGTGGATGCATGTGTTCGTCGTTCGCGTGGCATTGGGCGACCACGATCGATAGGTCGGTCGTGCGATGCTTGCGCAGCCGTTTCAGTCGATCGATTTCGGTTGGTTAGCCGGTCGGAAGTTTTTTGTTCGCTTTGGATGGCTAGCAACTCGATTTATCGCGAGCGCTCGTTCGCGCGGAATTTTCCACCTCGTATTCACCGTACTGAGATGTGCCGATTGTCGATTGATTGACTCACATCTTGTTAGACCTTAACTCGTGAAACGGAACTTTGGCTAGAAGTGGATGTTTCCACTGTTCCAGAGTTCAAAATTAGTCCAACTGATTGTCCTTTCTAAGCTCTTCAGTTGGTCTTTGAGAGCCCTTGGCATGGATCGCTGCGTGTTCATTCCCGCGGGTTACTCAAAGGTCACAGTCGTTGTTGGATTCCCCATTCCCAGTTGGCCGTGACTTCTAAAAATAGGAAGTGGCGTGTTGCACGCGATGTGTCTTGTGAAGACTTCAGCCGCCTGTAAGCTGAGATGTCCTCGGGACTTGACGACCGCCCTGTTATCCCAGACAACCAATACGGGTATTTATCCTTTGTCTACGGGCGATGTTTGACCAGTTGGAGCTGGTGGATGGCAGATCAATCGGTTGTTGATTAGGACTCTAACGGGACACGGGACATTGCCTGTGAGACCCTTCTAGTCCTTCACTGACGAAATCAATGGTTGTCCATGATCGGGTTACTTCTCAAAGATATCCAGTGTTCTTTTGAACCCAAGCAGTCACCTACAATGTTTCTAGCATCCATGATGAAGCTGAACACGCGGACGTGTGTAGATACTAATGCGAGTGTTTCCAACACCTTGAGCACCTCGATCTGAACGGTGGTTGCTCTCCTTTTACCGCTCGTTCGATAGCCTCACACAAAAAGCGCAGCTGTGGTGATAGAATCCCTGTAACACCCGGTATCTAGCTGCCATGTCATGCGAAGGAAGCACGAAGTACTGTCAGGTTACCCAAGCCTGTGAAAGAACGGCCGAGATGCCGGTGACGGACCTTCCGATCAGGAAGTTCGCACCTCAATCACTGAGCCAACTGGGGCTCTGAAGTGATGACCTTGGCTTGGAAAGAATATGATGGAGTTTAGGGGGTCTAAAAGTGCCTTTTTGTCCTGATTCAAGTCCAGAATTTGATGTTACGGCTGACTTACGAGTTCCCACAGTCAAACTGTTTCGTTGACTATCCTATAGCTGTGATCGTTGTCCTACTCAGTACGGTCACGATAGGAACATCGGTGCCCAACTGACGTGCAGTCTCGTCAGTTTATTTAACATGGAAAGGGGAAGTGCTAGCCCGCCACAGCTCATCAAGGGTCCCTTGACGCTGATTTTTCAGTGGACGCTTGAACGCCACTGATATCCATCAACAGTCATATCATGCGTCATCTCCAGTCCAACACACATCGAAGCTCGAAGGGACTCCGTCCAGGAAGGTGCATCACAACGTAGTCTTATCCTTTCCAAATTCAGAATGGGGAACAATGTTCATCCTGCAGGACATGTTCCATAGGTGGAACATGTGATGTTGGCCGTACTCCTCAGGTGACGTGTCCACTTCCCATCCAGACAATTAAAGGTGCAAAGGCGTTTCAGATCCCGTTCTCGCTTCAGTCGATTCCGTTCAAGTCTTCTGGTTTGGAACCAACTGACGCGAAACGAGATGCTAGATGTCAGCAACTCAGTAATACGCGTTAACGTCTCTACTCCTAGAATTGCAATTTTCTCCGGATTTTTTATGTTGAGTATGCAGGTTTACACGTCACTGTGTGGTCACTTAGCGATGTGCTAACTTGAGACACCTATGGCGTCCGGGTGGTTTATCCCTAAGTCTGAGGGGACGTGTGTATCAAGCTACAGTACGGGCTGTTTTCTTTTTGTATGGCTGTTAGACTTGGCCTATTCGAGCAGCGGAACTGAGACGTCTTCAGGTGTTCGACAATCGTTGTCTCAGAACCATAGCTCGTGTGAATTGGTGTCGGCGAATCCGTAACGAGGCAGTTAGAAAGCGCGTTTTCGGTTGTGTAACGGGTACTTCCATTGAAGAATGTGTCCAGCACCAGAAGCTACGTTG